TATCATAGTCGGAACCAACAAGCGCGATGATTTGGGTTGAACCGATATCTGGAAAAGGTACTTCAACAGCGTGATTAGCCGGGGTATGGGGAACATCTGTTGTTGATGTGTCAGGGACGGGTGAGGGTACGGTGGTTCTTCAACATGCTGGAGAAAAGATCCAAGGTGTTCGTGGAGGGTCCAGATACCGTGGAAGTCGTGGCACTCCTGTAATTGCTGAAGAAGGTCAGGGCCAATGGGCGGCAGTTTCGGGCCTACCATGATGCGTCGAATCAGTTGTTGGATGCAGGTAAAGTGACTGGTAGTGAACTTGTGGCTACCGGGGCAGACAGGGCAGAGACAGCCGTCGGTGCGGTAGTCGAGCAATGTGAACATGTACGTATTCGTTACAATCATAGCACAGAGCCGGATTGGTGTAGACTCGAAGCAGCGATTGAAGCTGTCGTGTCTGGCTGTGTCTCGGTTTGAGGTTGGCAGTTTACCCATAACCAGTTGGTAGTAGTATTGGCGCCGGGCCATTGCCGCGATCTCTTTGTTGGACCAACGTTTTGTTGAGTTCTTCCTGATGTCGTCACAGCGTTGGCGGAGGGCTACATGGTCGGGTGTACGCCCGCCCGTGGTTTTGTGTATAGATTAGTGGTGGATCTGAGGGGTACACAGGTGCAGGCCAATACGCCGCAATCGCTTCCATCGGATAGTACGTCAATAAATGCTCATCCTACACATATTTACGTTCTTCACACCTGTGAAGTTCCCACAACCACTAGACCTCCAACGAAAATGTTTGTGCACCCGATCCGATTGACGATTAGCCAGCAACCACTTACCTTGTGAGCGACTATACACGAGAAAACCCCCAAGTTGCAATTTGAACTCATCTTGCAACACCGCCCAACGCATCCTGTTAGGTTGGTTGGCTCAGTCATTTACCTTATTTCCTACAAAACTGGAAAGTGTCGCGAGTACTTCGATCTCAATCCGCACGATCTGCTCCCGGGTGGATTGCTCTGGACCACCATGCCTTGGCAGAATTTTCTAGACCTTTCTCGCTGGGCATTAGGACTGGCCTAGTACCAGTTGATTGGCTCCGATAATAAAATTCATCTAAGACAAGATCCGAATTCGCGAACTTTCCGGTTTTGAATAGGTTGGGTGATTCAGTCATTACTAATTTACTACAATCCAAATCGCCATATCCTCACTGGACAGGTCACTCGGGCGCCTAGTGACTGAGAATCGCGATCGACCACAATTTTGCTCCACCGGATTCACCTTCTCTTTATCAAAACGCTGTCGTATATTCCATCGGTGCTTGTGATCACCACCAAATACCAATTTGAGAAGCTTCCTTTAGAACCACATATTTCTTCCTCACATTATATACATTTTCATCGTAGATAATTTCTCACAACGTAATCAAATCGAAAATAAACAATTTTCGGAACAAATATCGAGACGGACCGTAACTGTACATCACAAACCGCTCAACTTCCATAACCGTGGCGGACGTCGGCAAATTAACATGGTCATCCAGCTGTAGGTCTTGCGACAAATACGACAACAACATATCCACTTGGGCGTGATAATACGAAACTAATGTAACCACTGTATCCTTGTGAGGCGCCCGTTCACGATCCATGGAAACTCCAGATCAAACGCTCATCCATCTGTGCCATGTTATCAAGAATAGCACTATAAATCTAAAAATTAAAAAACATATACCCTCCAATCTCACTGTATGAACAAGATTGTGATAGTAGGCTAACTAGTTCTCTAGGCTACTTCCTCTCGTTTAATTGGAGTAGTGGATAGATTTATTAAGGAATTAAGGGCCTGTCCCGAGACTCGTAGTGTAACTAGAAACCTACGTTCAAAAAACAGTTACCAAGTTGAACTATCGGCGTTTATGGGTATCAACTATTCCTACCAGGCTGCTTCCTAAATCCTATCATACTGCCTACTCTTGGACCCAAACCTAAAGTGCACTGGTCTAGTTTTAATATCCTGGAGACAGGACATCTGTGTCCCTAGTCTATCTCCCGTATGTAGTCCTTGAGACGGCGTCCGTACAATTTTCTCAAGATCGTACTGGCCCGAAGTAGGCCAGTAAGATTGTAATTTCAAGCACTGCACATTTCAGTGACATCAGTCGACGGTCAGCTTCAAAGACATCGCAGTCATCGAACTTTAGTGAGATACGATGAGCTCGCTAAAAGTTTTAACCTGTGTTAAAGATATCAGCTACATGTCTAGTTTAAGTACAGCGCACAAGTGGTAAGATTAATCAGTATACAAACAGCAGCATTGTTAACTAACGAAAAAAAGCATTTATCAGCTATGAACCATTTCCTAGTAATTGCCATCGTTGGTCACACAGTCCTCGACTTTCAAGTACATGCTAGCAGCATGGACACCGTGTTAGCCACGACCATTCTATTGCTTGTAAAGAAACTATGTATTGTCCAAGGGTGACTACAGTGAATCCATGGTTTCCAAATAGCGAACACACATGCCATGAAGAAGAAAAATGCGACGAACGCCCCCTAAAAATGCAACGATTCAAACGTTCACTGTGGTCACGGGTACGAGATATTGGGCCATGGAAAGTGGTGCGCATAGGGCGACTACTGTCAGTCAGGGCTGCCTGACTGTGATAAACATAGTTGTTGCGAGAAAAAGCAACACGATACGCCCAAGAAGTGCGAAGACTCATCTGTGAGCTGTGAACATGGATTCGAAACAAACGAGAAGTGTTGCGAAGGTAGTGACTATTGCCTACCAGATACCCTAAACAGCACACGTGCTGTGAAATGAAGTATTTGAATCCCATCTTAACTGTAAGCATACGGATGTACATTGTGGGCAAGGTCAATTGAACGCTCATCAGGAGTGATGTGCTGATAAACTGCAAACCAGGTGTGCTTCGATGCATTGAGTCCACCTGCTGTGAGCATGGCCGTCGGGCCTACACGATCATACGGGCAACTACTACAAGTGTGGTGATATATCATCTCATAAATGCAAACGTCTCAAGCACTAAACAGCATGCTGCCGGTACTCTAACAAATGTGACATTACGATTCAATCAGGTGTAATACCTCTCATTGCTGCAAGTAAGTTCATCTAGAGTGGCACTACATGCTTAAACTTATGCTGCTTATACGTATAGGGGGCTAATAAAACAGAAAAAAGCACACAATCACCTCAATCACTACGGACTGAATGGCAACTTAATGCACAACGTTGAAGTAGTTTCCAAACCGTATTCTGTCGAAGATATATTTGTCGTGATTGTCATCAACTACTGATGTTGTTTGCTTTTCATGAGGATAAAATGGTCAGACTCTGTGATTTTAAACGGTGACATTCACATCCTTCTTTTAAAAGAATTGACGCGGCATTTTATTTTCTACTGTTGTCGAGTATATGCGTGTACATGGACCCGCATCGCAACATTTATATACAACTAAAATTTTACAAACTCCGATTTATACACCACCTTCTAGCCGCGGGATCTTACGACTAGTAGTTGTCCTGCAGCGCTGACTTTTGCTCCTTTGCCAATTGCTTACACCGTCTGTGGCTGCGCCTTCCATCTAGGAAGTTCATGCCCTCAACGAAAGTGCTTGGGATGACTGTCGGTAAGGGCACTTCACTGGCAAACGTGAAGCGGAACTCATTCGATGTATATCGTTCGAGCGTATTGAGATTGTGTATATATGTCTTCACTTTTACTTGCATCGCCTTCTTACTGATCCCTGTATACACAACCTTGCCCTTAAATTTTACCAATGACCCGATTTCAACCGGTTTGATGAACGTAATCTCATCCACAGACATGCAAAAAGGGCGTGCACTCGGACCTGCAAACTCGATAGCGACAGCGTGTGCGACTTCGAAAGCCTCTCGCATCAAGTACCCGCCAAAGATGCGATTATTTGTATTACGTTGCTGGGGTTCGGTTATTTTTACGGCACTCAGCTCAGTATCCTTCATGGGAGTGCTGCTCTTGTACTTCTTGCCCGCACTCGTGATGTACTGTGGAGGCGAAAGAGTTATTATAAGAAAAGAAAAAACGAGCGCAGTACAAGAGGAAAAGGTCAGGCGTGTCTAGTGATAGAGCAATAAACAAGTATACACGAATGTAAAGAACTCTTAACAGTAGATACAGCTGAAACTGTCCAATGAGACCGTCTACAGGATGCATACTGTGATGAACTTCCATATCAACGACACACCACACATAATAGAAATGTTGCTCGCAAGCCCTTGCTATGTACACGTGTTTGTCTAATGATCGGGTTAGCATGACGACTTGGGTGAGCTTCCCATATGGAAGTTAGACCTTAATCGGAGCGTGCATAGAAGGGTAGCTGCCGAAATCCTTCTGGTTGAATAGCTGCACATACATAATAATCGCGGCACAGCTGACAAGGTACTTCTCACATGATATTTGCAATCATCGCCAAGCGCACTACCCATATTTCGCACAATACAGCAAAGTGTATACTCCGCTGCTCAAGTGCACACAAAACAACGAGCCCCCCCCCCCCACCCCGCCTAAACTTATCAACATTCCGCAAAACAATAGAGCCTGCACCACGAACCTCGTGCAGCAACTGAAACTCGGCAGCGGTCAAGCCATTCTTCATCGTTTCAGAAACATCATGTGCCTCCTGCTTGCGTTTCGCCTTCCTCTCTGCGCTTTTGCGTTGCATATCTGCATTCAGCTCTAACTGTGGTACGCACAGTACAGACCATAGGGCAAAACCATAATGAGAGAAAGAAGACGTGAAAGAGGCCGAGCTGCGTTTTCGATGTTGTACCTTCGCTATGGGCTTTGGGTACTTCGACTCAGCAATATTCCAAGAGAGACAAGCAACATGGTGAGGGCTGGTTCGTGGTTCAGCTATCGGGCAACTAGTTGTTTTTACATATGTGCATGTTGAAGGGGTTGTTTGAGAAGTCTACATGACCGGGGTTGTCATATATCCCTCCGGATACTGAGGTAATCTATGCTGATGAAAATGAATTTATTCCAACTTACTTTTGGCAATTCGACACCCTTTCCTGCCTTATCTCTGGCAGCCATGACGAAGAAGCATTCCAGTATCAAATCTTTGGCAGAATCTGCAGTACTAATTTCGATACAAACTTCAAGAGATGTACGTCCCACAGAGGATACTTGTCCACTCAGAATGACGTCCATATCTTTTGATAATTTACGATGCAGATCGATACGGTCACAAACCGCTGTCACGATCTGTGGTTTGGGAGTGATACCTGTTGGATTACAATTGATGCCCAAGCTTTAGCTGGCTAGCAGATATTGCATGTAGCTCTGTGATTAAGCATGTAGCAAACTTATCTTTAAAAATGAAGAGGGAATGATACTGTGTACAAATAAAATATGAAGTGAATATATATATATATATTTATATATATATATATATATATATATACATATACATACATACACACACACACACACACACACACATATATATATATAATATAATAAAACTAAACAAACAACAA